GATGAGTCACCCTGTTTTTTCGGTCCAGATCCAAAGCAATGGCCTTGTTGTGACGGCCCAGACATAACGTGTATCATGGGTTGTAATTGTATACATCATGTATGTATAATCCACGTCACCATAAAGATTTACAGGGGTTAGATACTATACTGTGTGATCTTAATTAGCGGTTGATTGTTATTACCATACGCTAAACACACATAGCTGGTTGGATGTGTGACTATGTGTAGATCAACGGTTAGAAAATAAGCGAAAATTTAGAATGTATATGTAATCCACATCACCATAGAGTTGGACATTAATGTAATTTCAAAATTGAAATCAGATCGAAAACACGAAAAATTCCAAAAGTTTGTATCGAATTTCCAGAACAACAAAAGAATTGGAACTTTACCAAATATTCCATAATGAAAAAAGTTTACTTGATCCATTTATAATCAAGGTTTATAAATCACCACAAAGCAAGGAAGAAGAGCTCTTGGACTAAGCAAATAAAGCTCCTCAATATTAGAATGAACACCAACTTTCCCGGCCAACGAATCGAATCCCGTCTGTCCAACCAATTCTTGTATATTCTCCAACGGCTTATGCACCCTCCCAGCTATCACCCTACAAACAATCAACGCCTTCCTCACCACCGACGAATCACCATCCGCCACCTGGATCGACTCGAAAGCTCTCCCGCTCGTCGAAGCCGTGAACACCCCAATGCCTCCACCTCGCACAACCTCTTTCTTGTTCGAAAACCCATTCCTCAAAATCCGGCAAACTCTGCATCTATCGGAAGTGCATAGGCTGCACGAGCCGCCTTTCGTACCCAATGAGCACTCTAAGGTCGAACCGTGAAATCTCAAAAGTTCGTTTCCGTCGGCCAAGCAACGAGGGTGCTTCTTTAGGAGCTTGCTTGCTTTGATTTTCACCACTTCTCTGTACTCTTCGAATTGTGCTAGAGTTTTCTGCATGTTGTGGACTTTCAGAATCCTCTCGATTCCGGTACTTCGGTGGTGATTCTCCGGCTTTGTGCTCGTTCGGCATATTATCTCGACTATTTTTCTAGAGGAATCTCCTTCCACTAATTCAGTAACTAAAAAAACATACAGAAAGAATTAACTATTGTTTGAGGCCAAAAAAAAATGTTAAGGAAAATCAAGAATTGTTGTAAACATGTATAAAGAATTACCGGCGTGTTTGGAGAGGTGATGTTCCTCGACAGCTTCCCATCTGAGAAACTGCTCGCCACATTTATGGCAAGAAATGGCTCCACCGTGAGAATCTGCACCAAACGAAGACCTCGGCCTTGTCGAAGAAGCACCACCACCGCCGCCAAATCCATTCCTCCTCGAAAGGCTGCTTGAGCTTCTCCTTATCGGGCTACCCAAAATACCCGGCTTCTGTACCCGCCCCACGTGAAACCCTACCGGCCCTGGAGTTCCCGGTTTCAACATACCAACAAAATCATTATAACTGCCGCTATCGCCGCCTTCTCGGAAACCAATCCCGGCGCTAATTTTGAGTTCGCAAGTGGAATTATTAAGCACGACTTCGTGGGTTATCGGGTTGAGGAGTTCGCTGCTTCCGATGGATCTGGGACTGCAAATGGCCGGCTTCTCCATGTGCCTCTTGCTTCCATGAATGACGACATCTTTCAGATTCGCGATGGACCGAGAACAACCGGAGCGGGTCCCACTAGATTTCTTCGTGCAGATATTGCTCAAATTTCTGTTATTGTCGTCGTCGTTGCCCTTCGGTTCGTAAACATCGGCTTGCTCTGATTTGCAATGCAAGGACCTCTTCAAAGCAAACCAAACTGCAGGCATTATTATATTATTCTTGCTGATTCTTCAACCATCCATCCCCTGTTTCTTGATTCAGTGCCGAAACCACCATACCATACAGAAATGGTGTTATTCTTTTTATATGTATAGACTGTTATTGTGGTGAGTAATTATGGCAAGCTTCTTAAACTTGTCTTTAATAGAATCCCACGCGCTGAAATCAATGCGCATTGTGAGTTACTGAAATCAATATCCCCTTAATTTATGTGGCTAAGTGGAGAAATTTATGAAGAATGGTATATAGTATATACACACAGAATATTTAAGGAAAGTTCATTATATTGGTCTTCTTCCACTTTATACACTACAGATAAACTTAGAGAAGGGGCCATTGAATATAATATGATCTAATCGAGGAGAAGGAGAAGAAGGAGGGGGACCAGATTCAATCCAACTAATTCATTAAATAGTGGGAAATGGATGTTTGTGTAATAAGCAGACATGGTAGTGAAAACGGGAAAGAGACTACTCGTTCGACTCGTCAGACACAACGCTATCGGACCACCCCGATTACAGTTTATTACATCTACTGTTCAACTTGCAATATATATATATATACCAGTACTGCATGTGCTTTTTGATATCTCAACTCCTTCGTCTTCATTAATTTCGCTCCACCAATTAAAAAAAAATTACTATTAAGATAAAAGAAAACAGTCATACCATTAATTTTGGTTTCAGAATAGATGCTTAAGTTTCTCGTTTTATATGGGATTTTCTTGCGTTAATTTCAGATCAAATCAATCAATGGCACTAAATAAAGAACTTACTTGCTATCACATTTATGACACAATTAATTGCCCTTACCCACCTATGGTCATGCTTTACATTGATTAGGCACATGCAGAGAGAGAGAGAGAGAGAGAGAGAGAGAGAGAGAGAGAGAGAGAGAGAGAGAGAGAGAGAGAGAGAGAGAGAGACTAAATAGTAGTTCACATTTGCAAGAAGTGAATTAGTAAAGAAGATAACAGCAACTGAAAGACAACGGCACATGTGCATGTAGGAAGTTCATACGAACGTGTCGAATCTTGAATCTAATTCAAAGGCCTTCGTCTAAATTCAAACAAACAACACATCAATATTAAACACATAGATGGATCACATTAAAGAAAAATGTCTGTCAAAATCATACACACACCGGTATTTCATAGAGGCACATCAATAGTCAATGCTATAAACATTAAACTTTAATCCAATGCAGATCCAACGGTAGATGACACATATATATATATGATCTTGATATCAGAATATATACACACTATTAACCCCATGAGAAATGCATGACGTTTAAGCGATCAAATGCAAATTTAACATAAACCAAATTCGACTATTTAATACAAACTATAAAGCATTTCTATTCCTTCAGACAACGATTTTTCCAATACGAACCGCAGCTTAAAGTAGGAAATACGATGAACCAAGAACAGATGCATGATCCCTGCCCAGGTTACGACCTCTAAGACACTCCAGATCCATTACTTGAGAATGATCAACAAAAAGATTCACCTATGAGAAACAAGACTATTAAGTTTTCTTCCACAGAATTAAATCGAACGGTTAATAAAACAGGGATTAATTAAAGAAAGTATACCCTTGGACCATATTGTTTGATGAACCACTCAGATGTCTTGGGATTTGATGCTTCGAACATTGTCTTCTCAAGCCCTAAACGGCTGACAACTTTTGCAATAATATCGGCCCTCATTGAATCAGCCTGTCTGCACACACCGTCAGCATCGATCATTATCATGTCTGCCCCTGCTTCAAGGCATCTCTCTGCCTTTCTAATCAAAAGATCCACATCCTCAACAAGCTCTGCACCATAATATTTAATAAGCTCAATGGTAGCAAAAAATTGAACACGAAGACTGGCAGATTTGTTGCTTATAATCCTCTATGACAAATACCTAACCATATGTTAGCCAGAATACATACGAAAAAATATGATCATCACATTTTAGAAATTAACCGGTCAAACAAATCAGATTGCTCTCACCTGAAGTTCGAGGTGTGGGGACCACATAAGATCCAAATGCCCTGTCTCTTTTTGAGGGTATATCCGACTTGTTAAATTTAACAGCAAATAAGGGCTTAGCTCTAAGGCCACCACTTTTAACCAGCCTCACATATCTCAAGAGCACATCTTCGGGTACTCCAAGCGATCCAGCATCAATCTCAATAGTATCAATCCCTAATCGCTTACATTCCTAAGACAGAATTGCAGAATGACATTGATCACCACATACATTAAAATAAGTGAGTAAAAGGAAAAAAAATATATTTAACTTACCTCGATATAGTCTTGAAAAGCAGAGGGACCTTTTCGCGGAAGGTGTTCAGCCCAGTCACCGCTGCTTACGTACACATTGTGCTTATGCGCCATTTCAGTTACTTCTTTGATGTAACTTTTAGGTATCAAACTATGAGAGCCTCCGGCAAATTTCAATCCGTCAACAAATTGTCCCATTGACTCAAAAACATCCTTGAACGCATGATAAAGAAAATTCACTATGAGTAATAGTTGCAGAGAATTATGATTTATGAAGGAATGTTATGTTGATAATTTAGTACTGAAAACGCAATTAGAAACTCTAAACCCAAGCAACAAAGCTTCATTTGATGAGTAGATATACTTAATCTTTCTGTAAGCTGTGTTAATCCAAGTAGCAAAATTACATCATACGAGCAATAGAAAACTAATCAATTTATTTATTTTAGTTCAATAAGCACAAGTAGCTACGCCACACCTCAGAATATCATTTAACTGCACACAGATCCAATTCATGCGAACAAAAAGCTACAATTACAAGGAAATGAAATCCTCATGCATGCAGATAAACTCGATCTTCAATTTCCCCACATATGCTTGAAATTGAAGCATCGTTTGATCACACTCCCACGATTTCAGAGATCAATTTACAGAAAAATTATACAAAAAAGACGATAAACTGAAAATAAAAAAAAAATTAAAAATTGATAAAACTAATTCTGCAGGAAAAGGAGAAGAAATTACACACCTGGAGATGGTTTTGGGAGAGAAGAGAAAAATGAGGTCCCCTCATTTCGGTGACGCCGAACCTCCTTGGCTTCTCTGGACGATCCTCTTCTTCGAAGAAGGTTTTCCATCGGTATCCTGCCATCTTCTTTTTTCCTCGTTCGTCACACTGAATTTCGAGCTTCTGGATGAATACAATACATGAACATTAAAATCGATGCAGAATGGCAGAAAATATGATTGGAAAAAAAAAGTAGGAATTGGTGTAAAATCGGTGGGTTTATTGTTAGCTGAAGAACTCTGGAGCGCCTTCTAGAAATCATGTGTTCCTTCTAGTTTGTTTTATTTTTTTATTGACAAAAAAATAAAGCGAGTTACTAAATTAGAATCGCGAGTTATGCTCAGGCTTCATTTTCTTTGTTTTTTTTTGGGAAAATAATTTTATCGCTAAATTTGACAAACCATATTAAAAGTTCTTTAATAAGAATTTCAAATATTGTCCCATTCAATACTGTGAGAATTGGACTTAGTTCTAAATTTCTAATTTAGTGCTGGAATGAAAAAGAAAAGTGAAAATTAAGATCAGCCTCTTGAGATAAAGTTAAATGACAAATAAATACCTTATGTTCCAATAATTACAATCATCCCAGCAAATGTATTGTCTTACGAAAAAAACCCCGCTAATAGATAAATTCGATTTCCTGAAGATGGACGTATGAGACGATACATAGTTGAAGGGATGTCTATAATTACCCAAACATAAAATGTTTTTTTACATAATTTAGTCTTTTCTCAGTGGGCTGACTGTGATTTTCCTAAAAGAAAATTGTAATTTGGCCCATATCTTAAAGCGCAAGTCGTAGATTTGGGCTTCAGGCCCACTTTGGTTTTAATGAGTAGAACTGCCCCAAAAGGCCCAAACTATGATAATTTATTTATTTTTTGTGTAAGATAAGATAATTAAGCTGATAAGATTAAGGGCCTTAAGATTGTTTACTGTATATGCTATGACAAAATTCTGACTCAGCCACAGGATAATAATAAAACTAAAAAGAATAAAAATATACCTTGATTAAAACAATGTAATGATGAAACTTACAGTTAAGAATATGGGAATACACATGAAAAAAGAAGATGAAAGTAAACAAATAAAAAATGGCAAACATCTGACTAAAGATTGAAGTAAACATGCAAGAGAATATAAACCTAAAACCAAACCAAGCTGTATTTCACAATCTCTGCTTTTCTTGTTACCCATGAAAGGAATCCTCAGCACCAAAAAAGCAGAGAGATCAAAGACATCTTACAAGACAAATGAAACCTTTTTTTCCCTCTCACATCTGAAGCATTTGTCAGCCTGTCCATTATTCTGATTCTTTCATACAACCATTATAAGATAAGATAACTTCTTGTTTCATCCCTAAATTGTTCAGAAGCTATGGCGAAAAACTTGGACTTACTCGTATGTCTGTTAATCATGGTTATCGACGTTGTAGCAGGAGTTCTCGGCATCCAGGCCGAGGTCGCCGAAAATAAGGTTTGTCTTTATCCCACAAAAAAACAAAACAAAACAAAATTAATTTTCCTACCGTTTATTTAATCACGTGTGTAACAGGTTCAACAGCTCAGGCTATGGATATTCGAATGCCGAGACCCGAGTTACCAAGCTTTCAAGCTTGGCTTGGGTGCAGTGGTGCTACTGTGTCTGGCACACAGCATAGTGAATCTACTCGCAGGGTGCATCTTCATCGGATCGAAAGAAGAACTGGATCGAGCTTCTCCTAACAAGCAGCTCGCTGCTGCTTCCCTTATTCTGTCATGGTACACTTCATATTATTTAGTACATAAGTACTAGGTTTAGGTTTTGGAGATGACTAACGTAATCTGCGTTCGTTAAAAAAACAGGGTTATGTTGGGTATTGCGTTTATCCTGCTGATATCGGGAACGGTAGCAAACTCGAGATCGAGAAAGAACTGTGGGATGACCCACCACCGCCAGCTGTCGATCGGAGGAATACTGTGTTTTATTCACGGGCTATTTGCGGTTGCCTACTATATTTCTGCAGTTGCAGTGTTTCACGAAGAAAGGAAACTAAATCAACAAGGCCAGGAAAACAAACCGAATCAACAAGCACCCCCTGCCTGAGTGTCGTCTCTTTCTCGTAATCGACAATATATATGTTCGATTTTGCATCTTACTTTCTACAGATAATTGTTCAGTAAATTCCTAACTCATAATCACCAACACGTGCCTATTCTAATGAAGGTTTTCTACTGGGACAAAAGGATGTGATCGATTTAATGTTACAACAAGATGTTCATTCGAGTTTAACATCAAGAACATAACCACAAACATACTACATTAAATATCAACGGAGTTCATTATACAGCATGCAGAACATAATCTTTAACTAGAAAAGAAAAACCAAGGCCAATCAAGAAAGCTATAACCTAGTACAAACTAATTAGCCTCGAAACAAGAACGATTCATAGACATAAAAATAACAAAAGTTCACATAATTTATAACAAGAAGCAACACCTGTCCGGAAACTCAGTGGTCATTCATCAGACTTCAAACCATCCAAAACAAGCTTCACTTGTGCGGTTTTGATCTCCAAATGCCTCTGGATAATAGCAACCTCCTCCAACTTCAATCTGTTCCACTCCTTCTCCCTATCGGTCCATTTTCCCGATGCAAACATCACTTCACCCATCCTCAAAATATTGCTCTCGACCGATCCACCATCGGCGTACAGTGTGGCTGGTGACAAATTCTGCACATCCTTTTTCACAGCCACCACAGCCTCTTCTTCAGCCTTGGCCACAATAGCCGCCGCCTTAGCTGCTGCTGCTGGCGTCTTCTTCGCAGCGGTACCGTTTGCTTTCGGAGTCGGGGTCGGGGTCGGGGTCGTAACGATTTTCTCGACCCCGTTTTCTTTCGCGGTGTCGTTCCCCCACACCTTTTTGGACAGTTCGTATGCTTTTTGCTCGTGGGGGTTCGAGAATGACCTGTCTTTGCCTCCCTTCTCTTTCTTTTTGTTGTTCACGTACTTCTTCTTCAGCCTCCTCACCTTATCGCTCAACTGAGTCCGGGTCACATCCACATGCAGATTTTTCTTGATGAAATCATGGAACCCGTTCATATTCGCTAACGGGTCGGAGTTCTTCTTTAGGGTGTAATCGGTCATCCCTTTTAGAATTGCGATCTCGTCGTCTTCGCTCCACAGCCTCTGGAAAAGCTGTTTCTTCGAATCGTCGGTGGATTTTTTTGCGGAGCTCTCGGGTTCGGTGGCCTTCTTCTTCGCCTTCTTCGAATCCTTCGCCTCTGTTTCTTTCTCCTCCGCAGGGCGTTTTGCGGCGGCGGATTTTGCCGGAGTAACGAGATCTGAAGCTGCGGATTTGGATCCGGGCTTCCTAGCGGCGGCGTTGGATTTCTGTGAGCTGTCCATGGGCTTGGTTGCTAAAGGCTTGACCTTTGGATCTGGTCCGTCGGAGTCCGAATCGGACTCGGATCCGGACTCGTCCTCGCCGGAGGAAGAGGACGCAGGCAGCTGCTTCTGGGGTTTGGAGGAGGACGGCGGTTGGGCTTTTTTTAGGGTTGCAGCCGGTGTCGAAGACGAGGGCTTTTTGGTAACTTGGGTCTGTTCGGGTTCGGAGTCGGATTCGTGTGACCCGACTTCTTCAGACGAGTCGTCGTCATCTTCTTCCTCATGCGATTCCGATGATTCCACGGTCTTCTCCGGTTCCCGATTCTTAGCCATTTTTTTTCAGATAGAGGTTTAATTACAGAAATTGTTGTAGTGAATAAAAAATCTAGGGTTTCTGGAGAAAATGTTGTACTTTTGGTGGGATTGTGTAATAATATTATTTTCGTACACGTCGGAGAAAACAAGGTTGTAGGGTACCACGTCTCAATTCACACAGCCAACGATCCGGTGTCGTTTCAAATGCATGACATTGCTATACCATACATTATAAGATTAATTAAGTGTAAATCAATTCAAAGTTAATCCCATCTCAAACTCATATTAAAAAAACAATTTTAGTGTTTACAAAAAGATAATTTGAATTTTTAAATCCTTAAAATGCAATGTACATATATAATTCTAACCCGTCCGCCAAGCACCGATGAAATAGTATTGGTTCTTCTCAAGAGGTGATCGATTTGGGAGTGATGTGTTCACGTGTGAAAGAAAAAACCCGAGTTGATACCGGAATTAACGCTCCAACGATCAAGTCATGAAATATCTAAGTAGGTGTTTTGGCGAAAATATTTATTGAGAGAGTGAATGATGTTACTTCGCCGCACGTTCTTCCTTGGTAATCCGTGTAATCACCATCACTGGATTAGCCGGATGGCACCTTATATCCTTAGGTGAAGTCTCTTAGATAGGAAGTTATGGTATCTCCCATTTTCGCGCGGCAAGCGGACATCCGAGCATTAAATGCTAGTGTTGGTGCAATAAATATATGGCCCAAGTCATTAAATGGGCCTCCGAGTATGCCGACCTATGATCTCGGCAGTACTTCCCGACTTCGCTACTCGGCAACACGATAGGAGTGTGGGCCTGGCAACCGGGCTTATGGACTTGGGCCTGGTGGCTTTTGGGCCCAAATGTTTGGACTTTTGCTATGTAGAGGTCTGATGCTATGAGCCCGGATCACATTCTAAATTAATTAAATTTTTTTTTTTGGAAAGATAATAAACATACAGTCATTGAAAATCTGAAATGCTATTCATAGAACAACTTTTACCGGCTTGCAGTGCGACTTTATTTCATTTGTAACTTTTCTTAAGAAAATTCAAAATTCTCTCAAACCCTATCCAAGGTTCTTCGAGTTCTTGCGGATTAAACGAGCAATTCAACAACGATTAAGGTAAAATTCGAACTCGAAATCATTGACCCAATGTTTCTATAGTAGTATTTTAACAAATTTCGTCGAAAATCTATACGTTTTGAGTATTTTGATTGTGTTCGAAAGTTTTCGGAAATAAACTTTCATTTCGTGTAGAAACGCACGAAATGTAGGGGTTAATTTCGTGAGTTTGTACACGAAATTCACGTATTTGTTAGTTTTTCTTACGTTTCGTGTACAATTACACCCTCTTAAGTTAACTCCCATTCCAACTCATTACCCAATTATCTTACATTTCGTGTAATTGTCCCCGAAACGTAAATACTTTGTCTGTTTCACTGTCATTTCGTGGACAAACACACGAAACCAGTGCTTGTATTTCGTGTGTTCTTACACGAAATAGAGGCACTAATTTCGTGTGTTTGTCCACGAAATGACAGTGAAACAGCACAGTTCATATTTTTTTTTTTCAAGATTTATTTTATTTATTATTATTATTTAGACTGATGTTAATAGTGTTTTATTTAACAGATGGCAGGCAAAGGGAAATCAAGTGCAATTATGCGAGCAGTTCGTGAAGAGGCTGAACATCAAGAGCGCGAGCGCGAGCGCATGACTATGTCTACACGACGTAGGCGAGAGGCTGAGAGGGCTGGTGCAGCCAGATCATCAGTTCCACATCCCGATGTTGGGTCTTCTCGTGCTATGGAGGAGGAGGAATATGTGGCCCCCGTTCACGAGACTGAGGTTGTAGCTCGTGGAGGTCGTAGAGGTCGTGGAGGCCGAGGACGGGGCCGTGGAGGTCGACCTTATACTCGAGTGAATCCGGATGTGCTAGATGGTCCATTTCCCGGTGGCCCGCGGGATCCGTCTTTGATACCGAGTTTCAAGTCGCACGTAGCGGCATCTATTTGGAGGGGAGAAGTAAGTTAATTACTTGTTTTAATTCTAATATTATAATTTTTGTATCTTCTATTAAAATATTTTTATAGTTGATTAATTAATATGTTTTCTAAATAAATGATTGCAGGAACGTCCGGTTGGACGAGTGGAGTCCCGTATCAACTCCCTGAACCAATTCAACTACGAGAAGATAGCAGATGCCCTAGAAGACGTAGATGTATCCGTAGACAAGCATTTTCTGCGGATGACCGGTTTGTATCCCCTAGCCCGATGTTATTTACAGGGCCTAGATATTCCGCTGTTGTTTGCATTCGTGGAGCGGTGGCAGCCGGAGACGAACAGCTTCCATATGCCGTGGGGTGAGATGACTATCACTCTTCACGATGTCCAGATGATTCTAGGCGCAAATGTGGAGGGACGGGTGGTCGCGCCTAGGTACGACGATGCAGCCGAGCGGACAAACTGCGTGTATTTGCTGTCCGAGGCCTTAAACCTCGAGTTTGAGGAGATTGACGAGTCGTGGAAGCATGGGGGCCCCACATGGAGGATGTTACAGGGACAATTGTTGATGCCCGACACGCCCATGAGACGCCGAGTTCAGATATACCTGGTGTTTCTCCTCGGGTCGATTTTATTCCCCGACAAGACATGTGATCGGGTGAAACCGTGGTATATGCACGTGCTCGAGGATTCAGTGCTTGATCAGGTCGGCACGTATTCGTGGGGTTCGGCCTGTTTGGCCAATCTATACAGAGAGTTGGGTATATGCAGCCGAGCACAATCGAGGGGCTTGGCGGGTTGCACCACCCTTCTTCAGGTAAATTTTAATATATTTGGAACTTATTTTGTTCATTTTAATATATTTTAATAAATTTTAATATCTTTAAATAAAATATTTGCAGTGCTGGATATACGAGTATTTCCCGAGATTCCAGCCGCCGGATGAGAGCGAGCGCTACCGCGAGTTTCAGCCTCGATGCAAGAGGTGGAACGCGCCACCAAAAGCGGGCACGCTCGAGCATATTCGAGGTTTACTCGACAATATGACAGCGGATGATGTAAGTCTTTTATATTTATGTATTTATATTTTTTGAAATATGAATTTTTCGATATGAATTTTTTGATTTAAATATGTTTTGTAGTTTGTTTAAATATGAATTTTTTGATTTATGTATTTATATTGTTTTCTGTTTAGGTCGAGTGGCTACCGTATGGTCGGGATATACACGAGAGTATCCCTCGTACGTTGTATCATGGCACGATCCAGTACATGTGGGTCGTAGAGTCGTATATGCCTGATCGTTGCGTCCGACAGTTTGGATGGGTTCAGGATATACCACGCGGCTTGATTCCGTCGATGGAGCCATGTTCACGCGGTCCCAAAGGAGGTACATCGTACAAAGTCAACTACCCATTTCCGGGTGGGATGTGGGACATGGTCCAGGCTCATTCCATTCATGCCCGCGCATACAAGACGGCACGACAACGGGGGGAAGTCGACGAGCACTACATGGAGTGGTACACCGAGCGGACTCATCCGAAGATCAACAACCCCGACGTAGGCCCGGCTCCAGTGCATCGAGAGAATGTGAGGCCACCAGATCAGCCGGCTTATTACCAGGTAGTACGTGCCCTGTACCCGATCACCAGGAGCACTGGACAGGACTGGATGCAGCAGTTTGCCGATCTACGTGCCGATCTTGGAGATATTTTGGAGCCCGCCGCCCGATATCTTGGCATCGACCGTGACAACGACAACGACGACGACGATGACGACGACGATCATGAGGTGCAGCCGCCGAGGAGAGCGAGGCGGTAGTTTATCGGTTACTTTTGCTAGTTATATATTTTTATGAACTATTTAATTTTAAAGTTTATTTTTATTATTATTAGGACTATGCATTTTTATTATTGTTAGGAACTATTTAATTTAATAATTTATTTTTATTTTTAATTAGGAACTAATTGTTTTACTAATTTTTATTTTGTTTATTATTATTACGAACTATTTAATTTACTAGTTTGTTGTTTTGTATTTTAATTCACTAGTTTTATTATTTGAATTTAGAAACTACGTACAACTGAAGCAATTAAAGTACATATTTAAACAACCTTACAAACAATCTTACAAATTTAATACATTCCAAAAACATAGATTAAACATATAAAATGCAAAACACAACGCTACAAATTTAAATATTCCAAAACATAAGTTTGAATGCAAAATTAAAACAAATATAAATTTAAACATAAGTTACCATTACTCAAATACCCGGCAGATGGTTATGATTACCATTACTCACACTCAATCGCCATAATCCATCCTCCGTTGATTTTTTGCCAATTAACCTGAACGGACAAGAACGTTTCTTCAATAGTCCGTGTCGTCCAGATTGATATCTTTCACACGTTAAAACATGATATTTTTCTGATTTACGATGATTAATCAGTCGATGATTATGACTAATTGCTGTGTCTTTTGCCCACATAATTAACGCTTCTCTACTATCACACACAATACCACGTTCAAAGAAGTGACTATGATCGTGAGATTGTTCTCTTAGTTCCTGCATAAATATTTAAAATTAAAAGACAATATTTAAGGGATTTCGTAGACAATCACACGAAATGGAAGCTTGCATTTCGTGTAAACACACACGAAATAATAGCTTCCATTTCGTAGGTGTTACTACGAAATTTAAGCTTCCATTTCGTGTGACTGTATACGAAACACACAACTAACGATTTTAAGACATATTTCGTATAGTATTACACGAAATGAAAGCATATATTTCGTGTGTTATGATACGAAATCTCTAAAAACGTTGGAAACGAACAAAAAACGTGTATTTTCACCTCAAAATCGAAGCCGTTGCCATCCATGTCGATAATACTTGTGCTCTAACTGATATTGGTCGAAAAAATACTAAAATTGATAAATTTTAAGAATAAAAGGTTGAGAGTGTTTGAGAGGATATTTGGATAAGATTTGGAAAAGAAAAAAAAAATGAATTATTTTGCACTGCGAGTGGTAAAAATCGCACTGATAATAGCAAGCCCCTTTTTAAAATTACTACTATCTTTATAATTTGGTGGAATGTGTTGAACCTTTTATTTTCAATACTTAGTTGGTGTAGTTTTCACATTTTTTTTCAACTGAGTGGGAGGATTTCATCATCGTTTCTTTTCATTAAATCCTTCTGCATATTTCTAACCTTTATTAATTCGCAATCTCAATAGATCATTACAACCATGCATAGAGATGAATTGGATCATTACAACCTTAGAGATCAAATATACAAGTCTCCGACGACAGAACAAAACAAAAATTCTTGAAATTTCATGTAATTAAGAAAGCATATGCCATTGGCTCAAAGCAAAAGTTACATTCATTCAACACACATTATTTTTTTCTAACCAAGCTTGGCCAGAACTTCATTCAGTGTGGACACAGTTTCAGCGTAGTACTTCTCCGCCTCCGCCGAGCTCTTGATTTTTGCCGCATGGTCCAGCTGGAAATAAAAAATAAAATAAAAAAGATTTAATAGGATATAAGTTGCTAATTGGTAATTAAATGCGAAATTAATAATATAATAGTGGAAGTATATTAATTAATTGATTACATCGCTGATGTTCTTGAGGAGCTTGGAAGTGAGGTCTTTAAGAGATTGCTTTTCTGCCTTGGGCTTGGCAGCGATAACGGTGTTAAGATCGTAACGGAGGTAGGATGCCTTTGAACGGAGATCGTTTTGCACGTAAGGCCACGCCTTCTGTTCGATTAGCGTTTTCACCCCCACAATTTCTTTAGCAGACTCTTTAGCCCTTGCTGCTGCCTCAATGGGTGTTTTTGGCTGAAGATAAAACCTCTCTTTTAGGGGCAATTTGAAGTCTCTTGCTTCGTCCGAGTTCAATGTTCCAGCTGTTAATTAATGATTAATTACTCCACTAATTACTAGATTAATTAACTGATAAAAAAAAAAAAAAAGCTACTTACGCAGTCCACCGGAGGGTGGGGGTGGTCCTCCGATCTTGATCGGCTTGGCGTCGGCGAGCACGGCTTGCACAAAGGATCCTGAGGCGATTCCGGCGGCAACAAGCCCCAACATGGTACGGCGGCTTGTCTCGGTCTCGGCTGAGCTCTGCTGCTGGGCTCGAATAGTGAAGTACTCTGGTCTGGACACGGCGATTCTGCCGGGTGTGCTCAAGCGGCTGGATTGGAAGCTCCCTTCCAGGACGGCTTGAGAAGAGCCACGTAAGCCAGCCATCGACGCCATAGCTTGAGCCATTACTTGAACTGTGTATCTCTAATTAAAACCTAGAAATTATGTCAGGCGAAAATAAGGGAAAATGAAGGATATAATATGGAGGATATAAGTTAAAAAGGTATACTCATGTGATGCAGAAATCACCTTATCTTTATATCTGACTTTGGATATGGTCTCAGCCAATCAGTGCTCCAACTATTGACACGTATGATTATTAGGTTCTCTTCCAGGCAATAGCTTTGAGACACGTGGAGTCATGGATCAATAAAATATATTTGCACCAATTTGCTCGTCTCTTTCAGGAAATTAGAATTTCAGTCAAGTGTTTTATAAATCAATAGTTTTGGAACCAATAATGGATTCATAAATAATTAATTAATTAAATGCACACTTTGCAGGGTCTTTCTTGATGTGGCTACTAGAAATTTGGGCCAAAAGGACTGAAATAGCCCATTAAAACAAAAGATACAAATAGCCCATTACTCAAATAGTCAACCACATTTGGCGGCAAGTTGACTTAGGGAAACAAAAAAGGATGCAGTGTTGGTTACTATTGTAAGAAATAGGTAAGATCTCCATTTGAGAATTCAAAATACAAGTTTAGTGGACCATTTGACGATGTTTAAACTGAAAAACCAGGTAAAGACAGTGCATTCTTACGAACACTACCCCCTTAAATTAATAGTCGGTGGGAGTTTGCAACACCTTGCACACTACGCGTGGAACCGTCCAACTCGAACCCTTTGCAAGCACGAATATTAGACAAACTTATAAAATAAATACATACATATGGAGTAAACTCATCATTATAAGTAATCCATTTTCCTCAACAACGCCAATAACAATAATCAAAGATCGATGGCCTCTAAATTAAGTTCAGCGTCATCATCGACAATGATTTTCCTAACATTTTTCATGATTTTCTGGTGTCGTCGTTGCTATGCGGACAGCAACGGACTCGAGGGGGCTTTGTGCTTGCCGCCGTCAGAAGCTGAAAGTTCTCCCACGTGGACGGAAAATCGAAACAGCATGTTCAGAAAGCTGGAAGCAAACGTGATCCTGAACAACGGCTATTACATAGCGGAGGCAGGGGAAAAAGGTCCCGATAGAGTGTACGGCCTCATACAGTGCAGAGGCGATATTTCAAAGTCTAACTGCACTAACTGCACCAGAGATTCGTTCAATTTGAAGAGGCACTCGTGCGGCGAGGAGGGCAAAACCGTCATGATATGGCAGAAGTGGTGTTTCCTGCGGTACTCGAACGAGAGGTTCTACGGCGTTTGGGAGCGTACGAGTGCTGCGATATCATCATTGAACATCTCTAGATCGTACGAACAGGCGGCGGTTGCGTCGAAGGGGATGATGATGATGATGGAGCTGGCGGCGGCGGCTCCCGAGGAGAGTTTGATGTTTGCGAAAGGAGTGATTGATGACGGCTTGGGCGGGAAGAGGTATGGGTTGACTCAGTGCACCAGAGACTTGGGGAAGTCCGATTGTAGGGGTTGTTTGGAGAGTTTGTTAAACAAATCAGGCTATCAGACAATTGTTTTCCGCGAACGGAGTTGGGATATTTATGGAGTGGGCTGTTTCGTGTTGTACGGTGATACTCAGTTCTACTTCAACACTAGTGCTGAAGAAGGTACATTGAATTTCATAAATTTAACAAAACTCATATCTTATTTTTTTTTATTATTATTAATTAATTGCATCTCTGGACCATATATAATAATAATATAACCTAAAGAAAACTTTCAATTCAAACACTTGTAGGACTAGGAGAGCCGACACCTCCCAAATCCAATGCAGCAAACAGAGGTTTGGCGGCACGATTATCGATGGCCATAACCATTTTCATGACAACAATGGCGTTTCTCTAAAAGATTCATTTTTTATGTGGCCATTTTGACCACTTCATTGGATTTGTGTGCATATTTTCTATATATGTATATGTTCTACCGTACCGTGTGTGTTGCTTATCTCTGTATGTGTGTGTAGATATTGCAGAGAGAGTGAGAGAGAAAAAAGCTTTTCTTTTATTGGCTGAATAATAAATAATGTGTCATTTAATTTTTCCTTGTACATTTACTTCTTTTATGCTTGTCAGCCCTGCCTATGAAAGATAGAAAAGCTGAGAGAGATTTTGGGTCTGGGCGAGAGAGAGAGAGAGAGAGAGAGAGAGAGAGAGAGAGAGAGAGAGAGAGAGGAGATTGGTTAGCACATAATCCTACGAGTGTTTGAATTGAAAGTTTTCTTTAGGTTTGTATACGCAAATCTCAGTTAAAAGACAGACAACTTATAATTGAGGTAAGCCTTGAAACTAATCAATCTCCAATAATAACTGGTTCAAGAATCATGATTATTGATTAGGTCCAACTCTTGACACGTATGATTATCAGGTTCTCTTCCAGGCAATAGCATTGAGACACGTGCATAGAGTCATGGATCAATAAAAAATTAAGCTAATTATAGTTTACACCCATGAAATATGGTGGTGGTATAATTTTTCCCTCTATTATTACAAAAGTAACACTTACCCCTTGAGACTAATTTTGCTGATATGGCATTGTTTTTTTCTATGCTTTTATAGTTTTTTGTCTTTTCTTCCGATAATACCCTCAAGCTTCAACCATTATATAACAGTTGATATAAAACATATTGTCTTCGAATCATTTATTTTAAATACAATTTCACACGTCGAAAAAGTCATTCTCTCGAAGAGAAAAAAAGAGAATAATGATTTCAATATTTTCTCTTTATTATTAGTAAAAAATATATCTAATTGTTCTTCAAAATAATAATAATTAAGCATACAAATCCACAAATGAAATGACTTTTTGCCATCTAAATTCAACCAACTTGAGGAAAATATTAAAAAACTTTTTTTTAATGAATAGTTAAAATAAAAATTAATTAAGTAAATAACAATTTTATTTGTAGTGACAATTATCATGTGTCTACATTTGCACTAACTATTTTTAACTATTCTAGAAGGCTAATTAACTTGAGTTTTATCTCTCACTATTTCACCTATTAGTATTGTATATAGGGCCAATTTTGATTAAAAAAAAATTAGGGCACTCTCTTTCAGTTTATCCTATTTAATAAATTAGTTGAATTTGCAATTCTTTTTCTTTTCAACCATTTTGCGAAATAATAAATAGAAAGTTTTTAGGAACTCAACATATTGTGAAATTATTAAAGATTTTAGTGATAGTTGTTTCACAATTCTTTATTAATAGTATTAATGTATTTTAAGATTTAGATCATAAATTAAATGTACTTGTTTAGGTATTAAAAGAATTAAGATGATGGATGTTACATAACATATACTTTGCAAATATGTATTTAAACCAAAAAAATAAATAAAACCAAAATGATACATTTTTTACTGAAGGGTAGTTGTATCATTTGCTTGCAAAAGTGAAAAAAGGGAGATAAAAACAAATTAAACCATGGCAAAATTCTAGGGGGTCAAGTGTTACTTTGTAACATTAGGGATATGTATTCCCATCCCAAATTTCCAATACATTAGGACTGTAAGTAGCCCTAAAAAATTGCACCTAAATTAGAATTTCAGAAAAGTGTTTACAAACAACAGTTTCGGAACCAATAGATTTTGTTATATAATAACGCTTTCAAAAAAAAAAGAAATATAATAACGGATTGATAAATTAATCACTTATATAAACATTATAGTTTACTTAGCACACATTGCAATGTCTTTGTTGATGATGTTTTCATTAATTTGTGACTTGTCACATGTAATATTTGATCACGTGGCTACTAGAATTTCGGCCCGACAGACTCAAGTACCTCATTAAAACAAGGGATTATTAGTGAGAACCCCCCACTATATTAGGGTAAATTAGAATGGATCCAACCCCTTTTACAATATTAGTGACACCCCCTCCATTATTTAATTTTAATTATTATTTACATAATTATTCGGTGCTAAACCTATATTACCCTTAGTTGCCAAATTTTGTTAAAATAAACCCTAGCCGCATATTTTATACCAACAACCGTTCTCTCATCGACACTCATCTCCACCACTTCTCTTCTTTCTCGATCTTGGAATCCCGGTAATGGCGGTGGAGGCGGCGGCTAAACGGAGGACGAAGGTGGCGCCACATCTCAACAACGACGAAGGAGTCGTTCTCAAATCTCCGGCACCGTGAAGAAATTAAAGAACAATAGCCGTTATGGAGTCGATTCTCGCTTAGTTCGCTTCGTTCTCAGACCCGCTGTAAGATCTCTAATTATTTTTTAGTTTGCAGTAAATCTGAACTCCAACGATAATTAACATTTATTTTGATTAAAAAGAAAAACAGAAGTTTTGCGGTGTTCGTACTTTGATAAATAGATATGTTTATTTAATGTGGAAGTTCGTGATGTGAAATGGACCTATTGCAATTTGAAGAATATTAAATTAATATTGGAATCTATTTTTTGCTTGGTGAATGGTGTTTTTCGGCCCTTCCGTTCTCTAGTAAGATTATTCCCTCGGATTTGAAGTTTAAAGTTATAGTTGTTTAGTTTTGCTATGTTCTTATGTATAAATCTTCTTTTGCTTGTCTGATGCATTGATTTGTTTTGTACAAACCCTTGTATTTTAATTTTTAGGTATTAAAGTTTGTGCTTTTTCTGTATGGATTTCCACCACTGCCTTTTTCGACAACTTTCACGGCATCAATTGTCACGATTGGCGTCTGACGTGGCCTCGTCTTTCCTCCGCCGTCACTAATCAAAGCCTCCGTCATGAATTGGGGGAAAATGGTGTTTTTGTAGCTGCATTTTACTCCATTTTATAGTTGTTTTCTCTGATTTTGGAATTTTTTATTTTGTAGCTGATTTTCAATAAATTGTTAAAAAAAAATAGTTGATTTTCATAATTTTTTAGTTTATTTCGATAATTTTAATAGTTGATTTCAATTTTTATATAGTTGGTTTTATTAATTTGTGGTTTATTATATATTTGGTTAATCTACTATTGAAAACAATTATTTTCTGTAGTTGTTTTACAGTTTCTTATAGTTGATTTGGAAAAAAAATGTACAAAAAAATTAGTTGTTTTACAGTTTCTTATAGTTGATTTGGGAAAAAAATGTACAAAAAAATTAGTTGTTTTAGTATTTTACAGCTCATTTCAATTTTTGGTGAACTTCTTGTTGAACACAGCAATTTTATAGTTGTTTATGATGATTTTATAGTTAATTATAGAAAAAATATGAAATTAAAAAATGAAAAAAATTAAATTGTAGTTGATGTAGGAAATAGTTGTTTAATTGTAGTTGTTTTAAAAAAATAGTTGATTTTCATAATTTATTAGTTTATTTCGATAATTTTAATAGTTGATTTCGGAAATATTGTAGTTAATTTCAGGAATATTTTAGTTAATTCGGGAAAGAAAAAAAAAACTGATTTTTATTTTTATTTTTAATTATTTTTAATTCTTTATAAATAAATAAACAAAAAAAATAAAAAATGAAAAGAAATGAAAAATGCACTAAAATGATGGATAATGAGTAATGAATAGATGAAGGGTAAAATTGGAAATAAAGAAAGAGATGGGTCTATCACTAATAAGGGAAAAGGGGCTGGACCCATCCTTATTAAAAAATGCTAGAGGGGGGTTTCACTAATAAGCCCCTAATTAGTTAGAATACTACCTTAAATTAATAGTCGGTGGGACTGGGAGTTGCAACACATTATATTGCACACTACGCGTGGAATTAATCAACTCAAACCCTTCGCAAGCATGAAACCACACTAATTTATAAAAAATGGGTAAATTACAACCACACTTGAGGTACGGTCAAATTACGAAAATCTCTCTTTTGCTTGGGTAATAATAAATTAATAACCACTCCTCAATTATAAAACTTTTACACGTCCACCCTTGCGGCTTCAAATTTAGTAGAATCTTCGAGATTATATATATGAAATATTATTACTTTTGTACCTGTTTTATCCCATTCGAACTCTACATTTTGAAACAAGATGTCATAATATGTGTGTTTTTTGGCTTGTACATATCAGATTGTGATACATCATAAACTGTACTTTTGCACAAAACAAGTACAAACTCAAATATATTTCCCAAAATCTAGATGATTATGTTGAATTTGACACCATAAGGATGGATGTACATGTATGAAAATTCATAATTGAGGGATAATTATAATTATCCAAATAAGAGGGGAATTTTCATAATTTGACCATACCTCAGGGGTAGATGTAATTTACCCTATAAAAATAAATACATGCTCCTTGACTAAACCTCAACACTATAAGAACGGGGGCTGGGGATTATTAGAGAGAGAGAGGAGCGAGAGAGATGGCCTCTAAATTAAGTTCAGCGTCGTCATTGATAATGATGATTAATTTCGTACCAATTTTCATGCTTTTCTTGTGTCGTCATTGCTATGCAGATACCAACGAACACGGGGGTTCGATCTGCTGGCCGTCGTCAGAAGCTAAAAGCTCTTCCGCCTGGACGGAAAACGTAAACACCTTGTTCACCAAACTGGAAGCAAACGTCATCCTCAACAACGGCTATTACAGAGCCGAGGCGGGGGAAAAAGGCCCCGACAGAGTGTACGGACTCATACAGTGCAGAGGCGATATTTCAAAGTCCAACTGCGCTAACTGCACCAGAGAGTCGTTCATTTTGAGCGCCAACAGCAGCGCGTGTGGCGGCGCGGGGAATAAAGGCGTCCTGATCTGGCAGAGTTGGTGTTTGCTAAGGTATTCGAACGCGAGCTTCTACGGGACTTGGGAGAAATCGAGTTTAACTGTATATCGATCGAACAGCTCGAGTTTGGGAGAGCCGGCGGCGGCGGCAAAGGGGAGGACGATGTTGCTGGGGCTGGCAGCGGCGGCTCCTGGAGAGAGTTTGATGTTCGCGACGGGGGAGGTGGATGTCGACGGCCTTGGCGGGAAGAGGTATGGGTTGGGCCAGTGCACCAGAGACTTGGGAAAGTCGGAATGTAGGGATTGTTTGGAGTGGTTGGTAAAGGCCTTTGGGACAACAGTTTCCGACGATCGGAGTTGTCAAATCAATGGGGTGGGTTGTTTCATGTTGTACGATAATACTCGGTTCTACTTCAACCTTACTGCCGAAGAAGGTAAATTATAATTAAAGTTGACTTTGATGTTATTCACAAAAGTGGCTGTAGTTTAGTGGTAAGAATTCCACGTTGTGGCCGTGGAGACCTGGGCTCGAATCCCAGCAGCCACAGTATTTTGTGATCCTTTTTATTTTTCTCTGGGCTATCAAGAAAAAGGCAGCCCAATATTATTATCTTGCATTTCTAAAACAATTTTCAGTTGGGCCAAACTTAATCAAGTTTTGTCTGTATATTTGTAGGACTAGGAAAGCCGGCACCTCCCAAATCAAATGCATCAAACAGAGGTTTGGCGGGACGATTATCGATGGCCATAACCATTTTCATGACAACAATGGCGTTTCTCTAAGCTTCTCCTTCCACCACCAAAACAGCCAAAACTATTCACAGTGTGGTAACAGTTGTTAGCCCCGTTATTTAAGTTACTTATGTAAACTTAATCTCCAATAATAACTGGTTCAAGAATCAAGATTAGGTTCATACATTGTCTACGTAAAAACATTATTTATACAGCTTTATTTCATAAATATTAACACACAACACATAAGATAAAGAACAGAAACAGCGATTCAAATGTAGCCTATATTCATTGTTCAAAACCTATAACAATACAAACAAACATTGGTGCATTAAGAAAATCTTGCAAATTACCGAGGATCAAATTCAGATGTAGCTGTCTTAGGCTCTTAGCATTCCATCCTTTGCTAGCATCAAATCGACGAGTGTGATGAATCATATTAGTTACGAAAGAGTGAAGTATCTGGACCAAAACCACTAGCCCTATAAAACGATGGCTCAGAAGGTACAGGCAAAACCATTGCAGAGCTACTCAACATAACAAAAATTGAAGCCATTGTTGGTCTGTTAGCTGCATTTTCTTGCGCGCACAACAAACCAATGTGAATGCACTTCAACATCTCCCGTAAAGAAACAGCCCCGGCTGCTCTTAGGACAGGATCTATTATATTCTCAGTTGTTCCTTCCCTCCAATTCTTCCATGTCTGAAAGAAAAAAAAAGAACAAAAAGAAAAAATATATATATATGTATATATATGTATACATGGATTCCATTTTGTTCAGATTGATTAATATTTGGCTTCAAACTTAAGGCATCAATTAATTACTTACAAAAGTCAAGAGATCCTCCATATTGTCCCCAATCTTGATAGAACTGTTTTTCTGACCACTCGTGATTTCTAGGACTAAAACTCCGAAGCTAAACACATCCGACTTAACAGAGAAATGCCCATGCATTATATATTCAGGCGACATGTATCCACTGTAGTAACAACACAAATTGTATAGTAAGGTCAAACATAGAATATGCTTTCTCGGCTTAGATTCTAATACAAGTATATAATAACGCTTACTAAGTTCCAACGACCATGCGCGTATTTCCTTGAGTTTCGTCTTGTTCAAATAACCTCGCCAACCCGAAATCAGCAATTTTAGGATTCATCTCTCTATCTAAGAGTACATTACCAAGTTTCAGATCACGGTGAATGATTCTCAGTTCCGAATCTTCATGCAAGTACAAAAGTCCCCTGGCAATACCCCTTATGATCTCGTAGCGTCTATCCCAACCCAAACACTGACGCTTTATTGGGTCTATATGTTGAATTAAATCAGGTTAAATCCAAATCACAGGTGTCTTAATTAGCTATGATTAAAATGTGCAAGAAATTTTTACCAATATTATATTTACAATTGTATATAGCTACTACAAAAGAAAGAAATATTACCTAACATAAAGTGATCCAGGCTTCCATTGTGAACAAATTCATACACGATAAGTTTTTCCGTTCCTTGTATAGCGAAGCCCAAGAGTCTAACGAGATTCCGGTGTTGAAGTTTAGCTAGTAATAAGACCTCATTCTTAAATTCGACATCACCCTGTCCTGAATTCATAGACAATCTTTTCACCGCTATTTCTTTATCGTTTGGGAGTTTCCCCTGATATTAAATTGCAAAGTTCTTTAGTTCTTGTATAGTTGTAAGCAACATCAACTTCTATTCTTGCGCTATAATGAAATCATATAAAATTACCTTATAAACAGAACCAAATCCACCTTGGCCCAGTTTGTTATTATCAGAGAAATCGTTTGTTGCTGCTTTAATTGTGCTAAAAACATATTGTAGAGATTCAAGTGCCGTAATCTCGTCTACAACTGTAAAGAAAAAAATCATATACTTGATCAATATGTGCAGCAATTATACAAATAGAATTTTTTTTTTATGGATTTCAAGAATAAGATTTATTACCCTGAGGATTTTCCGTTGATTTATGTTTTATTGTCTTTCTTAACCAGATACCAACTGAAGCAACTGTCAGTAACAATTGAAACCACAATAATAACGATAGTTCGAGTTGATGAATTGTCATCATTCTTCCCTGCAATATTTGAAAGAATACGATTAATCTTTTTGACATGCAAATAGTAATGAGGCCAGAATTATAGATGAGGGCGGGGCTAAAACGACGGGGTTCGGGGCAGCAGCCCTAAAAGTTTTTTTGGAGGTATACGAAAAATAACCCAAAATAAGTAAATAACTTTACATTGTATTAACAAGAACTTCTTGGTTAAATAACTCAATTTTTGGACATTCAATAAGGCCAAATAATATTGTTGAATAAGTTTCGGCCTGGCTTGCAATTATGGAAAAAAAATATCTTTAATCTTAACCAAATGGGCATTTACTTATTGGACCGGTCCAACAAATGAATTGACTTCTGATAAGATTATTTCATTTTATTAACTAAATTTTATTGCTCAAAAAAAAAAAGAAAAAAACTAAATCTACTTATCTTAACCGCCTGCTTCTGATTAGGGCAAGATTTTAGAAGCTTGGCGGTGATATCGCGGAGACATCGGCGGCACTCGTCGAGGCCGACGTCGCCTCTGCAGAGCACGGCGGCTTGGGCTTTCATTTGTTTTTTCGGGCTTGGATACTCTTCGACTCATTAATTATTATTACCAATAGTCCAACTCCAAACCATTAACGAGTCTTGAATGCTAAACTGACTCTCGACAACGGATATTTCGGCTCTCGTACCGATAAAAACGTAATGAAATTAGATATTTTGTGTGAATTTCAGAATCCCATTAACCATGTCTTTGAACTTAATTTGTGCTCGAAGCCATTAGGCCGGAGGCACGTATGCCTGGGCGTTTAAAAACGGATGGTGAACTTGTGAAAAAAATAAAAGCGTTACTTTTTTCATGGACTTTTTAGCGAGTATAAAAAATGAGGGTATTATTGTAAAATGGATATGTGAGAGACTTTTAGCATAATATTATTTTTCCATGTCATTTATGCTATATATTTCAATCTCTAGGGACTTTTTGGAAATTTCCCTTATTTTCTGGTAATTGGTTGGAAACTGAGTTGTTGTATTACATAGTATGGGATTAGGATTATAATCACAAAATGAGGTGATAGTTATTAGGTCCATTATTGTATTGTAGTTGATGTGTACATTTAATTTAATTTATTAATATTTGTTTTCTTGTTAACAAACATAAATTTCTGTAAGAACTGGCAATAATTACATTAAATATTAGTCATCCTAGGAGAGGAATCTTGAATTTGTCCTGGCTACTAGTACTAACCTAATATTGCGATTTTATTTCACAAATTAGGAGGAGGTGGTAAGTTTGAAAATTCATAATAATAAATTATGCAAATAATCTTATTGATCTTCCCCTCCTGCTGACGTGCTAATTAAAAATTGGTTATGATTAATCTACCAAAAGAAGTCTACTTGACACCTTATTGTGACTTGATCAGTTCATGAAACCCTATAAAAAAAAAACACAAATTCATAAAAGACATTGTATATGATCATATTTTTTTCGATAACATGGACTGTTCGTCTTCAATCCCGTTCGTAATGCGAAGAAATAACCATGTCGGAACGACATGCTAATCAACACCTCAATATACTAAAATACTTCCAGTGATGTTGCATTAATATATATATTTTTTTTTGGCAAAAATATAATACTCCTCTTAATCCTATCCAAGACCCTCTTTATAATGTTAAAAATATATTTGATAAATAAATAAATATAACGATTTTAGTAAAACTGGTATGATTTACAATTTGTAAAATTAGCATAACAATCCTCAATTTAATTTGCGACTTAACAATCATGACAATATTAAAACATAATAAAAGTGTGTATTATAAGTAATATTTATTTTATTGATCAATCAAATCACATTTGAAAATAAGATGTTAAATATAACACCAACTTGTTATTTTTTTCGAAAAAAAAACAACTCAGCGATTGGAACTGATATCAATAATTTTAAAACAAAGTCAAATAATACAGTTATGCATTTTTTAACAGGAAAATATGTTTTATTAGACCAGGTACTATTCATTATTGTTTTAATTACAAATAATTAGCTACTTATTAATTAGGTAAATACCACATAAACATCTTTTGGTTTGCTTATTTTGCAGATGATCTCTTTGTCCTTCTAGTTTAAACACATAACGCTCTCACAAACATGGTGGAAAAAGGGTCTTCAATTTGACACAAACAAACTGTCACAACTGTTTCATGCTTAGGTACACCGTCTATTCATGACATTACTTACAGCTTTATTTCACAACTATTAACACACAAATATATATATATATATATATATATATATATAAAAGAAAAAAAAAAAAGAAGAAAAAAAACCAGCAAAAATAGAATGCAGGCAAATCTGAAATAGCGTTCTAAAGCAAAAACCAGCGATATATACATAGAATCACATCATCGATGGATGACAAATTCTTGCTTATTGGCGGTGGATAGAACTTAGACGTCCGAAAAACTTCATGCACGTGACATGGTTAACAAATCCTTCAACTCAAATAC